ATGGCAATAGAAAGAAAATTCTGAAAAGGACTTACATTTTGAATGAAATCAACGTAATGAAGAGCACCATGAGTAAACTGAGTTCCACCACCAGGAAAAGTAAGGTATTCACCGGAAACTTTCACCCAATTTTGATGCCCCTTAACTTCTGCAAGCTTGGTGTGGGGAACATTATTGTACCAGACCTGCACAATGCATGGAAAGAACAAATTTCAAATGAAGTCGACAAATAAGGTATATACTACATGAACCAAACATGGTAAGGCATTCATGCTCCAACAAGTGTTCACCTTATCCCTACTTTTAGGCCACTTTACAGAACGCCTATATCCTTCAGGTAGGGGAACAAGACAGGTTGGGGGTTCATAAGGGCAGTGCCTCTCTCTATGTTCATAGTGGCTTGTAGTTGGAAGTTTCCGAATAGCTTGCCAATTGTCAAGGCAAGGAATGTAGTCTGGCCCAGCTGTGGTCTTACAAACTTTCCAATTATATTCCTTTTGGCCCTCAGATACTGAAGATTGCTGTGAATTCTCCTTCTCTGATTCTACTGCTTGAGTTGACCAAGCTCCATTTTGACTGGTAGACTCACTCAAAATTTCTGACTGACCACCATTAGGGGGAACCTCATTTGAAGCCTGATCATTATCCTGACTTCCTTTGTTATTTTCACCAGCATCTTGGTCCTTAGAAATCTTCTCACCCTCAGCAGAGTCAGATCTGTTTTCACCCGAGCTCTCATCAGACTCAGTGCGCTCATTTTTATTCATTTCACCTCCTTCTTCCTTTATTTCTCTAGCTTCTGAATTTGAATCCCCATCTTCCCTATTTCCATCACTTTCCCCTTCCTTCTTCTGTTCCTCTTCAGATTCAGATCTCTCATCAGTACTCTCCTTCAAATGACTGTCGTCCTGTTTTTCATTTGCTGAAATCTCAGACTCTCTGTTCTCACCATTGTTCTCTGTCTCTGATTTCTCTTCATTGTTCTCCTCATTGCTCTGTGTCTCTGATTTCTCTTCATCGTTTTCCTCATTGCGCTTTGTCTCTGATTTCTCTTCATTATTGTCCTCATTGCTCTCTGTCTCTGATTTCTCTTCATTGTTTTCCTCACTGCTCTCTGTCTCTAATTTCTCTTCCTTGTTGTCCTCATTGCTCTTTATCTCTGATTTCTCTTCATTGTTTTCCTCAAAGCTCACAGTCTCTGATTTCTCTTCATTGTTTTCCTCATTTCTGTTTGTCTCTAATTTCTCTTCGTTGTTGTACTCATTGCTCTTTGTCTCTGATTTCTCTTCTTTGTTGTCCTCAACTGCATTGTTCTCAGAATATTTGCTCTGCTCATCATTGTCATCTTTTTTTGTATCCTCAGATTCAGAGAGACTATCCACGTTGTCTTCAAACTGCTTAGAAAAGCTTTTCCGGAGATTTTGTCTTGCCCCATCTGTAGTCTCCTGAGACGATAAATCTGACTTCTCAACATGATTAACAGATGAAGACATCAACATCCAAACCCCAACTAGAAAAAGAGCAACAACCACAACTATGGTAACAGTTGAACAATAGCTTGATGACTTCCTCCCTTCAAGTTTGGAATACTTTCCCATGGCCATGTTCTTAAATAAATGTAGTTTCCCTCACATATAACTGCTAAATCAACCACAACCTGAAACAAAGGACCATCATGTACATGATAAAAAATATAGATAAAACGACCAATGACTAATAATAATCATAGATCTAGACAGCTAAAGCTATGATCCATGCCGACTTGCTTGCCCATATCTTACAAAAATTCAGAAAATATAATGAAAACTTGAAAAGAAAGTAAAGCTAAAATTTTGAATAAAATCAACCATTTAATAAAAAATATAGCTGCAAAAAAAAAAAAAAAAAAAGATTCCAAGGTAAGCCCAGTTGTCAAAATCATAACTTTATGTAATTTTTTTTTTTTTAAATAACAAGGAAAAGAGAATCATCAACTTTTTTCCCACCGGAGAGAGAAAGAGAGACGAGATCCATAAGAACCACCAGTTGCCAAAATCATAACTTTATGTAATTTTTTTTTTAAATAACAAGGAAAAGAGAATCATCAACTTTTTTCCCACCGGAGAGAGAAAGAGAGACGAGATCCATAAGAACCAAAAGTTGAAACTTCGAATCAGTAGTCTGGAATGGAACTTGGAATTTATTAAGTCTAAGTCTCGATCCAGGATCAGAAAACAGCATTACGTTTAAAGATTAAACCCCCCCAGCAAAAGTCATCCCCAAAACCCAATCTCTTCTTAATAAAATATATCAACTTTTCTATAGACTTAAGAGAGAGAACCAGATCCATTAGAGTAAAAAATTCACAGCAAAAATTCAAACTTGAAGCAGTATCATGAAGCAGTCTAAAGATTAAACCCCCGCAAAACTCATTCCAACGACTCAATCCCATCCAAAAAAACAACACGCAAAACCCACAAAAAAAAAAAAACCCAATTATGTACCTCTGCTCATGAATACATCCATCATGGAAGAAGAAAATAAAAATTAGAAGATGCTTCTGAAAGAAGAGAATATCAGTGAGAATTGGAGTAGGATTTGGAAGCTTACCCTTACCCCCTTGGTGGGGTTTTGCTACAGATCTTGAATCCCCAGGAATTCAAGTGCCTATCTTGCCTCGTAAACGTATTACATGAAAGAACGAGAGAGAAAATAAAATATGTATCTGATATGGGTGAGGGAGTGGCGGTAAGGCAACCCTGCATTTTAATAGCAG